CCCCCTGCCGGCCTGGTTGCCCCACGCAGCCTGCTGTTCAGTAGTTTGGTTGTCCCTCACTAACCCGGGGTGCTGGTGAATGGGGTTCCTGGCTGGGAGGCCACTGATAGCAAGCTATCCAACGGCCGATTCTGTGAGGAATGGGGCTCCCTCCTTCCTCCTGTCGGGGTCCAGTTTGAAGGCCGGCCACGCCCTCTGTTGGGCCAGACCCAGAGTTCTACCACACCCTGGCCTCCACCTTGGCAACCCAGGACTGACTGCCGCTGGGTGCTCCTGGCACTCTGAGGGTAGGTTTTCCTCCAGGCCTTGCTGGAAACAGCTCGGGGAGGGCACCTCAGGGCTGGTGGGACTGATGGAAGTGGGGGGGTGGCATGGAGGCAGTGCCTGCGCTTCTGATCACTTGCACACTGTGTTTTATATCACAGCATGTGGCAGCGGCTGTGAAGGTTGCCACAGCAACCCAGCGCTGACTGCAGGACTGACTTCTGGTTGGTCGAGCCTTCGGTCGTTACTGGTCGTTATGGACCCAGGGTTTTTATATTTTAGGATAATAGTAGAGTACTTTATCAGCTTCTGAATTTCAATCATGTTTAACAAAACTATCAATCACAATGACTTGACAAAAACTGATGCTGTATAATAAACATGTCAAAATCATGGCCCATGGGCCGCATGCGTCCCACAACAAATATTTTTGCAGCCCAGCCAATATAATGGTATGTAAGAAATGTTTTAATAAAATTTCATAACTTAATTTTTACAATATCCTGTTACACATAATTATTAATAACAAACTACAACATTTGCTAATGACTGATTACTATAATCGTGTTGCATTCATTCCCCTTACGCGCAGGCACATCATTTCTCTCCAATAATACTAGCAGCGAATATTTTAGCAGCTGACTGCCACGTCATTAGTCTTGTACTGACTTGTTTGGTGTGTGCAACAGAAAATATTTTGCTTTCAGAGAAGAAAAAAGGTTTAGTAGTAGTGTTACACTTACTGATTTGTGCAGTTATTCAGTGTCTGGTAAGTTAATGTTCAAGAAAATATATTAATTTTCATTAAAAAGTTCTATTATTTTATGTTAACAATCACTCATTTATTTCAGCCCTTTGTATTCAGCATGTCTCTATCGAAATAAACCTACGTTTCTATGAAAATTGAAGCTTTTGTTTTTTTGCAGCCCACATAAACTTAAACCTTGTTTATTTGGCCCATGTTAGCCTGAGTTTGACATGCTTGCTGTATAACTTATTTTTCTTTTAAAAATCAGGGGGACCAACAACTTCCTAATTACTAATTTCTTAAACAGCCAATTTAAATAATTTACCAGTGTATTTGACATTTTGTTACCTTGTTAAGTTTAGATGCCAGGGGATCTGCTGCCTCTTTCCTCTGTGTGTTACCCATTGCAGCCAGCAAACTCAGCTGAAACTGATCTTCCTTGCAGTTCATTTCATTCTTAGCAGTTAGTTGCATGAAGGAAATGGGGTCATCAGGCTGTACTGTCACATTCCTCTTTTCAGATTCTTTCTGTGTTGAGAAAACAAACACGTTTCTCTTTAATTGGAAAGAAAGATAGCTTTTCATAGGCCTTTATGAGGAGTGAATTAAAAAAAAAAAAAGCCACAAAGGACTTTTATGACTTTATCATATATACCTTACCTTTTGGGATAATTTCTCTTCTTCGAGTTTAGCAGATAACATGTGTGAAAGGGATTGTCTGCATTCCTTATTGAAAATGTCATTCATTAAAGGCGAACATTCAGACAAGACCTTGAGGCACAGGGAAATTCGATCTACATCATCATCTGTAATTGGCTTCTTAGGAAGAGAGGATTTTCCCAAATGAAGGATAGTGGCCATGAGCAACATAGCCTCAGCGACAAAAGACTAGAAAAGTAGAGAAATGGATTATTTATCGTCATGTTTCTGTAACTGCAATAATGTCACTTTTTATAACTCACAATCTAATAAAACTTTCACTTCACTTGAATAAGATTTCAAATCTTTTGGATTTTATCTCCATCTTTTTTGCATCCTACTTTTTCCTTTCTATGCTAGCTGCCACCCTCTAAAACCTTCATTAAGCCCCAACTAAAAGACAGCAACCACTTTTTAATTGTCTTGCCTTACTCTAACTGCCCCACATACCAATGCTTTCTTTTTAAAATTCCAACAATAGAAAAGTTAAAAGAATGATACATTTCACAAATAGTTAACTTTCTGCCATATTTGTTTTCTGATTTTACTCATATATGTGCACTTATTTTTTTAGGTAAACACATGAAAGTAAGATTCTTCACCTCCTAAGTCAGTGAGGCGAACCTATGACACGCGTGTCAGAGGTGACACGTGAACTCATTTTTTTGGTTGATTTTTCTTTGTTAAATGGCATTTAAATATATAAAATAAATATCAAAAATATAAATCTTTGTTTTACTATGGTTGCAAATATCAAAACATTTCTATATGTGACACGGCACCAGAGTTAAGTTAGGGTTTTTCAAAATGCTGACACGCCGAGCTCAAAAGGTTCACCATCACTGTCCTAAGTACTAAGTAATAAGAGAATCAGAACAGCTTCTTATATAACTGTTATATCATTATCACTCCTGAGAAATGAAACAATCCCAAAATATATCTACTATATACTCTAAATTGAAATAAATCTCTCTAATCTCACAAAAGATTTTCATTGTTTTTTAAATCCTGGATCAGCTTCATACATTTTATTTGGTTATTCTCCTTAGTCCCTTTGAATCTAGACCAGTCCCCGGCTTTTAGTATTGTTTTCCATCACAATGAGTTTTTTATTTATTGATTGATTTTCAAGAGAAAGAGGGAAGAAGGGGGGCAGGAAGGGAAAGAGGGAGAGACATCAATTTGTTGTTCCATTTATTGGTTGATTTTTGTATGTACCCTGACTGAGGATGCATTCATTGGTTGAGTCTTGTATGTGCCCTGACTGAGGATTGAACCTACATCCTTGGCGTATCGAGACGATGCTCTAACCAACTGAGCTACCTGGCCAGGTACATAATAACTTTTAAAAAGAGGCCAGGCCGCCCTGGCTGGTTTGGCCCAGTGGATAGAGCGTCAGCCTGCGGACTGATGTATGTGCCCTGACTGAGGATTGAACCTACATCCTTGGCGTATCGAGACGATGCTCTAACCAACTGAGCTACCTGGCCAGGTACATAATAACTTTTAAAAAGAGGCCAGGCCAGTTTTTTATAAAATGCTCCCCACTCTTGGTTAGATAATAGACAGGTGATGTTTTGTATTTCTTTTGTATTGCATCAGGAGGCACATATGTTAGGTTGTCCCATTAATGGGGACACTAAGTATGATCACCTGTTGTTGCTATCTTTTTAAAAAAATATATTTTATTGATTTTTTTACAGAGAGGAAGGGAGAGCGATAGAGAGTTAGAAACATCGATGCGAGAGAAACATCTATCAGCTGCCTCCTGCACACCTCCTACTGGGGATGTGCCCGTAATCAAGGTACATGCCCTTGACCGGAATCAAACCTGGGACCTTTCAGTCTGCAGGCCGATGCTCTATCCACTGAGCCAAACCGGTTAGGGCTGCTGCTGCTATCTTAATCCTTATTGTACATACACCAATCACTTCACTCTACCCGTGAATACCTTCAATGACTTCCCTAGGACTTTATTTTGAAGTCCATATGACTTAGCCTGCTATTCAAAGTCTTCGACAAAGTGAATCCAAAGTACCTTTTCAGTCTTATGTAGCATTAACCTGACACATAATCTATGTCATTGCCAAATTGTCTTTGGCTAAGTACTGATTTGCACACATACATGAAAAAACTACAAGAGGCCTTGGGAAAGAAGCTGAAAAATAAGTATAATAATCCATCCGGGATACTGTCACCAGAGGAGAGGAAAGAGGAGAGAACAGAAAAAAATAGAAGCACGAGCAAAGTAAAGATGAAGAAAACCACACGAAGGCATATCCTAACCAAATTACTGAAACCTGGTGATAAGGAGAAAAAAATCTAAAATCTGCCAGAGAAAACAGGACACATTCCATGCATCGGCGTAACAATGACAATGGCTTCTATCAAAATACCAGAAGACAATGGAGCAACATCTTGATGGTACCAAAAGAAAAAAATTCTTAACAGAAATCTATACCTTACAAAGACAACTTTCAAAAATGAAGTAGGCCTTTTCAGACAAACAAAAACTAAGAAAATTCACTACCAACATACCTGCGTTACAAGAAAAACCAAAGCAAATTCTTTAGGCAAAAGTTATATAATACAGAGAGAAACTCAGCTCTACACAAAAAAATGAAGAGCAATGGAAAAGGCATAAATGAAGGAGAGCTAGTGTGATGATAAACAACCAAACTTCCACCTGCCTTGTACCAAATGCAGCAAACTGCATGAACCAGATATGTTACTAGAAACCTGGCTCTCTCAGATGCCAGCAAATGCTCTCCCAACCTGCAGAACTAAAGCAGCCTTTCTATTTGAAGAAACCAAATTGGACCCTGAGACACAGAATCCCAGAGACTTTTAAAAAGCATAATTTAAATAATAGATGATTATTCTGTAACAAGACCTGAAAAAATAAATAATGCCCACAGAGTTGCAAAATAAATTATTGCCCATAAATCTAAACAAACAGATAAAAAAGAGACAATACACCTTGTAATTTGCCTGGTCCTCTAAATCTCATTAATGGCTCTTTTAATGATGAAAGTTAAAAAAAATCCTTTGAAAATCCCAAGTCTAAAATGAAAATGTCTAATTATATGTTGGCATAAGTAAATGAAGGAATGTAATGGACTGTTATGCAGCTATTAAATATTGTAATTATTACTAGAGGCCCGGTGCACAAGATTCGTCCACTGGGGGGGGGGGGGTTCCCTCAGACCAGCCTGCACCCTCTCGCAGTCCGGGAGACCTTGGGGGATGTCCGACTGACAGCTTAGGCCTGCTCCGCTGGGGAGTGAGCGGGCCTAAGCTGTCCGTCGGACATCCTTAGCGCTGCCATGGAGGCGGGAGAGGCTCCTGCCACCACCGCTGCGCTCGCCAGCCGTGAGCCTGGTTTCTGGCTGAGCAGTGCTCCCCATGTGGGAGTGCACTGACCACCAGGGACAGCTCCTGCATTGAGCTGGACCGGTCATTCTGCTGGTCAGTCAATTTGCATATTAGCCTTGTATTATATAGGATGATTAGGAAGGGTTTAGAATAACATGGGAAAATGTTATAATGTTAAGTGAAAGTGTGGTATTATAAAATGCGAAATGGTCACACTAGAGGAAAAAAGGTTTCACAGATAAAAGCCATATTAAACTCTTTCTGGAGGAAGGAAGAATTTTTGTTACTATATCTGGTAATGAAATTCCATCTTTTGATGTTTCTATCTCCACCACAATATTAACTAACAAGATTTGTACTTTATTGCGTAACCAGGAGTGATATTTTTCTTATTAGTTATTACCTCACTCCTATTTCTTTTAGCAATGTGAAAACATAAATGAACAAAAATAAAACCATTCACATGGTAAGTATGTGGGTAAATATAAGACTTTTTCTCATTTAAAAAAATCTTTAAAAGAAAATTGACTATTTCAGCAGGAGAACAGATAGAAGAATATTATATGGATAGCCTTAAAAACAAAGGAAATTCTGATACATGCTATCATATGGATAAAGCTTGAAGACATCATGCTAAGCAAAATAAGCCAGTCGCAAAAGGATAAATATTATATGATTCCATTTATATGAGATATATAGGATAGGCAAATTCAGAGAGGAAGAAAGTAGAACAGTGGTTCCCTATGGCTGGGAGTGGGGTATGGGGAAGTATTTATTGGGTACACTTTTAGTTTGGGATGATAAAAAGTTTTGGAAATGGAAAGTGGTAATGGCTGCTCAACAGTGTGAATGTACTTAATGCCACTGAACTGTACACTTGAAAATAGTTAAAATGGTAAATTTCACATTATGTATATTTTACCATAAAAAAAAATATCCAAAAAAAAAAAACGGGGGCACCTAGGAAGGTAATTGAACTTTTGCCCTGTTCCAAACTCTCAACTTCTTACTATTAGCTAAGTATGCCCTCTCCCTATCTAAGTCTGGACTCCAGATAAATAAGAAATGGTTGGGAAAAAAAATAGTGCATGCATATAAAAAAGATAACTAATGCAAAAATAACAAAAATGCAGCATAGGATTGATAATATGACATGTAAAAATAAAATGTAGAATAGTAGCACAAAGGATGGTAGTAGATGCTGGGGGAATGGAAGTATACTATTATTTTAAATGAGCACAAAGAATGGTCAGAAGCTATGATGAAGGTTATGAACTACAGAAATGGCAATATATTTAGGAGACATTTCTGGGATAAAATAGGCAATGACTGACTGGATGAAGATACTGGATAAAGGCTTATTCTTCATTGAGCCTTGACTAATTCTAGCAAACAGAAATGACTTCATAAACCCTTATATCTCTCCCACTGGACTAATCATAAGGTATTATTACTGTATTATTTAATCAATTTTACAATAACATTATATTACTGTGTCCATTTCCCCAATTAAATCACAGGATCTTTAGCATTCCCTTTTGGGTCCCTCACAGTTCAATGCATATAGTAGGCACTCAATGTTCACTTGTTGGGTAAATGTAGAATAAATGGACTTACATTTTGCTTTTTCTTCTCCTGAACCAAAGCTACATAGCGCAAAGCAATCTTGGTCAGAGTTGTGGCAAGGGAGGCGGCGACAAAGAAATCTCCATCCAGCAGGAATCCTCTCAGGGGAGGTCTGCAAAGCAATCAAGGGAAATGAAACCCAACAACTTCTTAAGCAGCATGCAGCTTTGGCATGACTCAATTAAGACTATTTAACACTCTCACTGCCATCCTTCAGTGGTAAGATCTCAACTACCTCCCTCCTTAGCTCTCAGAATGAAGCTAAAGGAAAAAAGAAAAAGAAAATAACACATGGATTTATACCTATCTTTAAATGACACAAGAAACAGCTGAATATAAAGAGAAAATGGGGAAGGGTGTATGTACTCGAGCTAATGAGCTACATTCAAATCCCAGCTTTTCTACAGTATTTATTTATTGTGTCCCTTTGGGGTGAATTACAAATGTCTTCAAGATTCAAATCCTTATTCTATAAAATGGGACAATAATGTACTTAATGGGTTGCTGTGAAGATTATATGAGGCAAACTACATAGCACAATGCCCAACACGTAATAAGCAATCATTAAAGTTTTAGGCATTATTTTCATCATCTTCACTATAAAATTAGAGTAAAATGAGGAAATCATCAAAATTTTATTCCATCAGTAAAAAGTAGAAAATTTTCCAAAATGTTTTCTAAAAGTTACAACTTAGCATTTTCTATATGAGTAAAATAATTTTAAGCAGAACACAGTTATTTCTATGAAAATACTTATAAAAAACAGAGGATTAAAACCATCAACATGATCCTGAGAGAACTTCCTTTTCCTTTCAAGTATCTTAAATGGCAAAGATTTCCATTTTGGCCCTAACTGGTTTGGCTCAGTGGATAGAGCAGCCGTGGGCAAACTACGGCCCGCGGGCTGGATCCGGCCTGTTTGAAATGAATAAAACTAAAAAAAAAAAGACCGTACCCTTTTATGTAATGATGTTTACTTTGAATTTATATTAGTTCACACAAACACTCCATCCATGCTTTTGTTCCGGCCCTCCGGTCCAGTTTAAGAACCCATTGTGGCCCTCAAGTCAAAAAGTTTGCCCACCCCTGGACTA